GTAGGTACCCATTTGTCTACTTGCATTTAGGATGTTAGTTAGTCCATTATTACCTACCCCAAACCAGAGGGCAGCTTCTTGTGTTCCTCCACTAACAGAACTACTCTGTAGGAGGAAAAAAGTGCAAGCCATGCATGATCATTTCAGCTGGGTGTGCATATGATGCTGGAAAACTGTAGGTGATTATATGCATTTGTCACATCATGTGATCATATGTGCATGTCCAGCTCTACATGGCATTGCTCTTCATGGGACGGCATTGGTTTTGTATTGTTTGAGGGCCTAAAGACAGGAAAGGGAGCAACCAGGCGTTTAGAGCCTCAAAGTCCGGATAGTGCTCAACTTCCAGCGTTTGGAGACTAGCAGAAGTGATCCATGCATCCTTTGCCTAGCAGCAAGCATTTTAATTCCTGCATCTTGGTCCCAATTTGGAGATGCAACAACTTTTGGAAATACCCTAAATTTCCAACCCATCTTAAAAACAGTTGGTACATTAAAATCTGGGTTCTTCTGGAGGACTTTGATTAGTCGAATGTTTTTGTAGAACAATCTGTAGCTCAGGCACAGGCTGAGCAGTCTTGCATATTTAAAAACAAGCCAACACACTAGAGCACTTATGGCCTACTTGTTTGACATGTGCTTTGCTTGTTTTTTCTTCTAATTGTTATATGTTTAAAATTAAGTATTTTATGTGTCTTAAAGCTTTTTGTTATTTTTGCACTGGAAGGAGGCCTAAAAGCCTACAGGTAACGTAAAATGGGGGGAAAGTGGTAAACGACAGTGTGTTTAAATCTAAATTTTGAAAGAAGGAAGTGGCTTCAGAGGAAGAGTTGGGTTTGGGGGGAGTGCCTAGAAAATGATATCACAGGAAGAGGTGGGGTTTTGCTGCAATGTACTGGAAGTTACATCATTGGAAGGGATGGAGTTTGGGAAGTGACATCACTTGACCTTTGCCCTGAAAGTGATATCACTGGACATGACATCACAAAAGTCTTGGCTCCAACCCAAAGTCTCCAGGCTCCACCCCAAATTCCTCAGATATTTCCTGAGTTGGACCTGGCAACCCTAGATTTGGCCATACATCAGCACATGCCCTGACTAAAAATGGGGCTATCTGGGAGAAGGGAGGATGCTCTGGGCCTTCTCTAGTAAAGCCCTAGAACCAGAGTGGTGACAATCTGTTAAGGCCCTTGCCTGCTCCAGGCCTGAAGGGAGTAGGAAGAAATGCAGGTGTGGGGGGAGGGAGAGATACATGGAATGGACAACCTGTCCATGGCACACTTTCACGGCCCCTCACCATACCATGACAAAAACCTTTTGGGGAGAGCTCCTGCATGCCCCTGTATTGTAACCATGCTACTTTCAGCTTTTCTGTTTTCAATAACTTTTTTTCTCTTTCCCAAATCTCATTTACTCTTATCTTTTTGGAACAAACACTGTCCAAATGCATTATTGCACCATTTGTAAGGAGTAGTGTATATGTTCCTGCCCGGTACAGGTCCCTAAATAGTAATTGCTACAGCAGTATAGCACAATAACATAATAGCAATCTATTGCTAGTTATCAATGCCCATTTTAAATTTTAGTTTCTTGGAATTCCCAGTTTTTGTTTAAAAAAATAAAATATACAGCCCTTTTTGTTGTAGAGGTATAAGGGGAACAGCAAGGCAGGTCTTTTGTCTGTATTGCCTGGAAAGGAACGGAGAAGGGAAGCTGCAAGATGGCTAGAGTGGGGCAGGAAGTCACTGCTCAACTGATGGTATCACACTTCACAGTGAAGTGATTTCTCTGCGATCCAGGTAAAGAAAATGAAAGGTGCATGGTGGCACTTCAGGGAGAGGGTACTATTTGTATGTCAATACTACACTATAGTGCAATATCACACTATAGTGCTATGTTGCATGTTGAAGAAAAAACAAACGGGTGGCATGTCACCATGACAGCCATTATGACCATGCTTTACATATGCAGAGTCCCTGTGGAGCACGTGAAACGGAAAAGTAAGAAAAAGAAGAGGGAGGTGCACTGACTCTACTGACCCTTAAAATATCAGTAGAACTGCTCTGGGAATAAGAGATTTTAGTACTGTGGCTTCAAATTCACTCATTCCACTTTTGGATTTTTTTATTATAGGAGAGATTTGTGTTTGAATAGGGTCTGTCTCGTTTACAGTCCTTTCAGTCAGCTACATCTTGGTGTGAAATTGTAATACCATTGCATTGTTATGGAAATTATTATGATGTCACAAGCTCAGCATTATAGTCCATTACAGGAACTAGTATGCAGTAAATGCAATCTAATTTACTTTTGAATAGCACTATTCATACAAAAAAGTTATATCATTTCCAAGTCAATTGCTAGCTGTACATGCAAATGTAGGCCTGATTCTGTTCTCAACATCAGCTAAATGTAGGAGTAGAGCCACAGAAGTCAGAGGTTTTATATTGCACAGAATAAAGTAGTAAGAGGGAAATCAAATCCCACGCAACTTAAGGAACAAACTCTAAGAGTGGTAGACAGAGAAAAGATGAATAAAGTTTTTGGAAGGAAATCAAATCTGACACCACATAGTGAAAAAATAAGTACTAGGATTTGCCCTTAGGATATAAACGTAGAAAAACTGAGGGATGAGGATTCTGGAAAGAACATCCCTATATAGATACAGTTCCTGGCACTATTACGTTGGTTTGGATCAGATGACGCATAACGCTACACACACCTATCTACTGTGCGTGTTCCATCTTTGATGTCACTGGCCATCCATCAAGGGACAGAACATTCAAACAAGACTAAATTTAGGATACGCAGGCTTAGATTGAATAGTTGATTCCCAGATTCCATTTGGAAAATAAGCTGCATGGGATTCAGCTCCATTTGAACATTACCTTCTTGTACCGACAAACAGTGATGCAAGGTGAACAGCAAGAAGGCAAGGTGTCCTTTTGCTCTCAACTAGCTCTCCACCACTTGCAAGACTGTGTATTGTCCAATCCAACCCAATGAGTAGATAAGTGTCAAGTAGGTTAGTGATACTTATCATGATACACAGGCTTTTTGAAACCCCATTTATGTGTAGTGGGGTTGATCCGTGTGGCAAGTCAGTATACAAGAAACAACCTTCATTGATAATCAGCTAATACAGGGAAATATGGCAGCCATGTTACAAAAAATGACCTCAAATTTGTTCTATAAAATTCTATGAAGAAGGCAGTTTTATAAAGCATGGAAGCACTCAAAGATGACTTGCCTGGAAAACATGGCAATTAAATCCCTGATCTTCTAGGACAATGGTTTTGATGTAGCTACAAAAACCACAGCTTTCAGCCAAGTTGGCTTGGTGAATAATTTAAGCCTTTCATCAAGAGCATGAAACAGATTGTTTGCTATTAGTGCAACAATTTCAATTGCTTCTACAATATGGTAGAGACTGAGCAGAACACAAAAATGGCATATTCCCTTACCAAAGAGTTTATGCATGATTTTGTATGAGCTTTCTCTCCTAAAATTGTATTGCTTGCATAAGGGGACTATTTGCAAAGTGCAGGAAACCGGCTGCAGTAATATATGGGTTTTTTGCTAATGCAATCAAGATTGATTGATTGAATATATGAGCCAACTCTAAGACTAGGAGACAGGTTAAAGGTGAAGAGAGGCCCCAAACTTTGATAAAAATGTAGTGAAGATGAAAAAGGAAGGATATGTTTGCAACAGGTGACATAGGAATGTAAAAAACATAGTGGTCAGGAATGACTTTGTGGAAGAATGAACAGTCTGTTCGTTGTCACTTTATTGTCTGCTAGAGAAGCAAGGGAAAGTGAAAGCCTTAGGTGGTTTTGTGCCACTCTTCACTGAAACCAATTTTAATGGCATATGGAAATGTAATAGGGTTGCCAAGTCCTACCTTAAGCTGCAGCGGGGAACTCCTGGCTTGCTCTGGGAGCGCCCGCTTGCGCGCGCCACAAGCACATCACCCGGAAGTGACGCGGCCACGTCAGGCGCGCCAGGGGCGGGGCTGCGTCACTTCCGGGTGACGTGCTGACACCAGGAACGTCCCGTGCTTTGGGGGTGGAGTTCCCCTCGGGGGGACTTGGGAAGCCTAAAATGTAGATTGGAGACATGAACATTAGGCCCTTACCCTGGTAAACTGATGTCCAAAGCCAATTAGCTTCTGCCTCATAATCAGACTGACTCTGGAGCCAATAATTTACTCACCAGATTGTCTGACGGGTCCGCTGTCTAGGCTGCCACCAAATCCAGCCTTGTCACAAAAGGGAGGAGCCCAGTGGGCTTCACAGTGGCAATTTTTTTTATTGTTGCAGACCTGGAAAATAGAAAAGATCCTTGCCACTTTCAGCCAGTCCACTGAAAACAGGAATGATTACATAACCTTTAAATGAGTAAATACATGCATATTAAATAAAATATGGCCACTGAGCCTACAGTAGCATTCCATAAGCATTTGATACATTTTTTCGTGTGTGTGTCAAATTGCATCCTGGCCTACACAATACATCTTATAACATTCCAAGCAGGTGACATGATGTCTGGTGCTAGTATTTGCCATGAGTATTTATCATGCAAATATTAATGTGCACTGCATGATATATTTTTAAAAATAATTTTTGTTGTGCTGTTTCTTCCATCCTCTCTCAGAACTCCAGAGTTTCTTATTCCATAAGTCATTGCTAGATTTCCAGAGGAAGTTGCAGAAGCGGTCGTACATTGAAGAATAACCAGAGACACACAGACAACTTGATAAGTCTACATTCTTCCAGACAGTTTGGAATCAGAACTCTATGGTCAGCAGCTACTTAAAAGCCTTGATCATGGAGTATAATGCAAACATTCGGAATGCCACAGGCCAAAAATATAGTGTGAAATTAGGTTTAATGGATTATTCATTATTGTCAACAACCAGCTCAGAATATAATACCAGCAATGATACATAAAAAGTTGCATAAATTATACTAAAATGAGCAAATAGAACCCATTAGATTAATATAGAACTACAGTGGGTTCGAGCAGCTACACAAAATCTGGCCACTTGATCCATAACCAAGACTTATGGTCAGAGAGGTAGAAGAAGAAGAAGAAGAAGAAGAAGAAGAAGAAGAAGAAGAAGAAGAAGAAGAAGAAGAAGAAGAAGGAGAAGGAGAAGAGATTGGAATTATACCCCGCCCTTCACTACCCAAAGGTGTCTCAGAGCGGCTTACAAACTCCTTTCCCTTCCCCTCCCCACAACAGACACCCTGTGAGGTAGGTGGGGCTGAGAGAGCTCTGACAGAAACTGCTCTTTTTCAAGAACAGCTCTTATCAGAACTACGGCTTGCCCAATATACGATTCCTCAGATTTACTTGGAATTCCTCAGATCTACTTGGAATTATATAAAGTACTCAAGTAATAAAATCATGTCTCATATTTAAACAGGCAATACAATAGAACATGTCCAACAGTTTCAGCTTCCCACTTTCACAAAGGCGAGTGTGCTCTGGTGTGGAACTCCACTATATCTCCCTTGCAAGAGTGCAGAGGGTGGGACATTGAATTGGGCCAAAGTAAAAGCTTTTCCAAATCTGGAAACTAGTAGATTGGCCAGGTAATTAGAAGGCACAAACGTCTTGTCCCTGAAGAAATAATTTTTTGTTGTAAGACTTAAATGATGTTTTAATGCAGTACCCCAGTTGCTTTGCTTAATTATTGGTTTGATTTTTGTGTATCCGAGGGCTACTGAACTACTGGGAGAATACCCCAAAGTCAGAAGTTTCTTTTTTTCCCATTTTGACTGAGTGTCAAAGAAGCGAGTCCCACAGGAAAGCATGGTAAATTAGGCTTTTCCACACAGTTTTTCCTACAGCTCAGCGTCTTAACTACATTGGTTTCCCCCCTTCCTTACACATGCTAATATTGTCTGGTCATCGCTCTCCTGGTTGTTTTTTCCCAAGTTTTCCCCATGTGTGTTTTTTCCCCAGACCAGTTGTTCCAGACTAGCTTCTTTACTGAGTTTTCCCTGTGTCTTTTTTCCAGACTGGCTGGTCTGAAAAAATATAGGGGGGAAAAATCAAATCAAAACTGGGACACTACAGCAAAAACTTGGGGTAGAAAAGCCCGATCATCACAGAATTCTTAGAGTTGGACTCCTGAGGTGGCACACTAACAACTCAACATGCAAAATGGATGTGGATACTCTTATCAACAAACCAGTATGTCATGGTGAAAATAGAAATCTCCCCATCTAGACTAGACCTATATCTCTTAATGGAACAAAAATAAATCAACTGTAGAATTACAAAGCAATGATGACACTAGAGTATATGCAGGCACCATGGTCCTGATAGCAATGCAACACTGCAACCAAACATTCTTTTGTGAAACAAAAATTGCATCTCATTTCTTGGTCACTGGAAAGGGCACTGAAGATTGATCTCCTTGGAAGGACATACTGAAGAGGCTTTGACGGATATATTACAAAGAATCACAGATTTCAAAAGCTGTATCCGATGAATGATTTATTGCTCAGTTGGGTATTGACTGACAGTAAAAAATTGTATTCGTAATACTTACTCCACGTCCGTGACATTTTGTTGCACATTCATGAACACCAAACACGCTGGTATTTTGGCAGCGACGGTTGAGGCAAATCTATAAAATGAAAAAAATAGCAGGTTTACTGTTGCCAGAATAAATATAGCTATGGTGTATGTACCAGCCCTTTTCATACTTATTTTTATTTTTTCTGTATTTAATTCAGCTTTCCAGGAATGGTTACAGAAGCGTGCTTTCAAGCTATAATTTCAAACCAAGGAATTATTTTTAGTTAGTGATAGAAATAAAATGAATATTACTTCTGTTTAACAGTTATGTTATACCACCAGACAGTATACTAGAATAACAAGGTAAGAGCATGATAGTTAAAGTCTTAAAAGTGCTGCAAAATGGTCAGTTCCAAAAGGATAAAATATCTGAATATCACAGAAGTAGTTATTCTCAGATCATTTAAATCGAAGGTATCTACTGAATTAAGCAAGAATGAAAGATGGCAAAAGCAGGCATGTAGATTACCAATCATTTGGTTGCTCGGGGCTGTCTGACTATAATATTTAGAAAGATGTCACAAGGGGTTCTTCACCCACAATGTGAGCATGGTTTTATAATTCATATATCAGACATATTTTATTAAATTGAATGCTAGGTTGACTATTATCCTTCTAGCCAAGCTTTAAGTAGGGATCCCACTCCCGGCCTTCTATGCCTGATGAAAAACCTTTAGTAAAGACAACATTTATTTAAGGACTAGCGTGTTGTCTCACTTCCTGGGATATAGCCGAGCGTCTCATTCGCCATCCTGTCCCGCCGCAGGCTCTGCCGAGGCCTCTGTGGCCATCGCGGCGGGACTGGCGCGGCTCGCGCCAAAGCCTCCTCAAGCCCTGGAGGGCGAAGACCCATCGAGGAGCGGTTCCACGGAGAGCAACTCCAACGGGACAGAGAAGAATGGGGCCAACATACAGGGGAAGGACACATGAGAAGGAGGGCCATCTCCGGACGAGCGGAGTGGGAGAGACGCAGGAGGGGGGGCACGGGTACGGACAGGCAGAGAGAGATGGAACTTACCCCAGCTAATGCGAGCCGAGGCGCTCATTCGAGCGAACGCAGAGACCGGGGATTCCCCAGAAGAGACCACACCCTGTAAGACGCCCAGATATCCCCAGGGGGGTGGGGCTGGAGGGAGTGACAGGGAGTTTGTCCTATCGGAAGGCAGGAAAGAATGGGGGAGGGCTTTCCCCGAAGGTGGGGGTAATAAAAAGAGGGAAGCCTTTAGAGCCGAGGAGGATGTCGGAGGTGACGGGCTTGAGCACAAAGAGAAAACGAGTGTTTCAGCTGTCAACCCCGAGGAGTGGTGGCTTAAGAGTGAAGTAACTCTATCCCCACTCCAGGTCTGGGGCTCTGGCTTCTCGGAGGGAACACCGTTGACATGGCTACGGCTCCGCCCCCACCAGGGGACGACGCACGGCCCGACAGGAGGCACAGGTAGCAACCACTGCCAAGTTGGCCTTTTATCATCTCAGGCTGATTAGGCAGTTGGTTCCCTTTCTCAAACGCAATGACTTGGCAACAGTGATCCATGCGATGGACACCTCAAGACTGGATTACTGTAATGCCCTCTACATGGGGCTGCCCTTGTCGCAAATCCAGAAGCTGCAGCTAGTGCAGAATGCAACGGTGAGGCTGTTATTGTGTCTTCCCATGCGGGAACACATTCAGCCTGCCCCAAAAGCACTGCACTGGCTGCCTATAGCATATCGGATTTGGTTCAAGGTGCTGGTTATTACCTTTAAAGCCCTTTATGGCCAGGGACCTGCATACCTGAAGGACCGCCTTTCCCCATATGTCCTCTAGAGAGTGCTGCAATCAGGGACCCAGAATCGGCTGGTCCTCCCAACTATCAAGGCCAGGCTAGCGACAATGAGGGTTAGGGCTTTCTTGGTGGTGGCTCCACTCTGGTGGAATGAGCTCCTGGAGGAGATCAGGTCCCTGTGGGACCTATTACAGTTCCGCAGGGCCTGTAAAATGAAGGTCTTCCGCCAGGCTTTTGGAGCTGCCACCATCACTGCCACCACTGACATCAGACAGTTATGGAAAGCGAGCCCTACCCCTTGGGGTCCCCAATTATAGCCCAACCCGAGCCTTTCCACACCTTAGACCATTGCTCTAATTGTATATTGCGACCTATATTTTGCACCCACTTAATCACTGAGTCTTTTACCACTTCATCTTGCATTTTCATGTCTAATAGCAACATATACAATAATTTTACAAATTTCCCATCAGAACATAGCAATATTTTATCATCTACAAGTGTATCATTAAACCCAGTGATTTTATCCTTTACATATCTAGAATCCAGTTGTGCCCTTTCCCACCAGTTCAAATGAATACCTTTTCCCTTAAGTTTATCTTGTTGCATTATTTTATTTTGATCGTCTAGCAGGTCTTCATACCTCCAAAGCAGTTCTTTTGTAAATATCATTGGGTTTCTGAAAGCTTCTAATGGTATTTTGTTATAATACATCTTTTGAACCTTTTCCCATGCCTTTATTAGTGTTGCTCTTAATATGTGTTGCTTAAAATATTTGTTTACCACTTTTTCGTACCAAACAAAGGCATGCCATCCCAATTTTAAGTTGTGTCCTTCTAACTTTAATACTCTTGGATTTTCCAATGTAATCCATTCTTTCATCCACATGAGGGCTGCATATTTATGATACAGTTGCCAATCTGGTAATGCAAATCCTCATCTTTCCTTTGAATCTTGCAGAGCTTTCATCTTGATTCTGGGTTTTTTGCCTTGCCAAATAAATTGTCTCACCAGTTTATCTATTTCTTTAAAATATTGTTGATTTTTTATCATTGGAATTGTTTGAAACAGAAAAATAAGTCTCGGTAGGATATTCAGTCGCTATTCTTCCCATAAAAGATAGTTGTAACTGTTTCCATTTTTCTATGTCTTCTTTGATTGCCGATAGGAGTTTCATATAATTGTCTTTAAACAATGAACTACACCTGTTAGAATTATTCCTAAATATTTTAATTTCTTCTGAACTTCAGTGCCGGAATAATCTTGTAGTGCCTGTATTTGTTCTCTAATACAGTTTTTTGTCAATATTTTTGTTTTCTTAAAGTTAATCTTTAGGCCCGACAATTTTTTTCTTTTACAAACAGTTGAAAATGCTGTTGGGCACTGAGGATTGACATGATGCGAATGGTAGCCAATAGGAACCATCTCCAACCATTTCTTGCTGCAAACTTGCAGGGCCAGTTATTTTCAGAACTTAAGCATGAAGACAGAAAGATGCATTTCATTCAAATGGCTTTAACTGGACAGCTGGCAGAAAAATACATTTTATTTTTTTTAAGTGTTCACCCAGGTTGGTGTTGTGAGTTTAGCTGTCTGATTATTGTGAATGGGGCTATTACTATGATTTCACAACAGTGCCTGTTTGGAGTCAGGAATGGATAAATAAAGTACCTTTATGTTCCTTTAATGTTTGTAGTCAGGGCTATTTTTGGGTAGGAATGCACAGGAATGGCGTTTCGGCTGGCTTCAGAGTTGGCCACACCCACTACACCCAAGCCAAGGGAAAGGCAGTTTAAACCGCCTCCCCTCCCCTCCAAGGGCCAGCTTGCTTGGGCTCCTCACAGCCATGGGGCGCCTGGGCAAGCCAAGGGAAGAGAGTTTAGACTGCCTTCCCTTCCCTTCAAGCGGAGGGGCTTGCCTGGGCAAGCCAAGGGAAGGCATGGGGTGTGGCCTAATATGCTAATGAGCTGCACTGTCAGGGTTGTGGCCTAATATGCTAATGAGTTTCTGCTGTTGGGTGTAGCCTATTATGTTAATGAGTTCCTGCTGGGCTTTTTCTACAAAAAAACCCTGTTGCAGATATTTAATGAATGAGCAATTCACTTACAGACTAGTACTCTGCAGGAGAGCATGTGTGAGAAACAGCAGTTAGCAGCTTTCAGCAGGCAGAGAAAGGTGACCTTAACTGGAAGCTTGTGTGCAGCCTTGGACAGAAGGGGCTACTCTCTGGAGATTGGCTGCCTGCTATAAGAGTGCCTCTTTGCCTCCAATTATGCTGGGTTTCTATAATTTGGGAATGAAGCAAATAGTACAAAGACACTGTAAATCTCCAGTACTCTGCTATCTAAAGAAACCCCTATGGTGTTGCCCCTGGAACGTCTCTCTGCTCAGAGAAGTCAAGAGCATGTAAACATAAGTTTCCATCGCATGACAGAAGAGAGGGCACACCTTTGGCCCTCCAACACACAAATGTTGCAGTGTATAAGCTGGGAGTTCCTTGCTAATGCTTACTTATCCAGGGGCCTGTACTGGGCTGGAGTGCCCACCTCCTGACAGAGGGTTGCTAACCTCCAGGGTGGGCTGGAGAGCTCCCAGAATTACAACTGATCTGGAGAATACAGAGATAAGCTCCCTGGGAGAAAATGACTGATTTGGAGGGTGGACTTTATGTCATTATACTCCACAAAGGTCCCTCCCTTCCACTAATCCTGCCCTCCCCAGGTTTCCCCTCCATATCTCCAGGAATTTCCCAACCCAAAAGTGGCAGCCCTATCCCAACATTTTATCTGGGGTGTGTATGTGTGTGTGTGTGTGGAGTGGAAGCAGTGTGCCCCTATAAAGACAAAAAGCCACGCCAGGTAATACAAAGAACAGGGGCTTAGCCTTCACAGTTGCTGATAAAATCTAGGATACTTTTTTGGGGGGGAGGGCAAGTGAGTAGACAACCAAATTGTATGCTGTTTTTATAATGGTATTTCACTTAATCTTTTAGGGAATAGTAAGGATTGCCAATGGAATCTTCTACTCTCTGCATGAAAATTAATTGCCTGTACTTAAGACGCTGAACTGCAGGCTGTGGAAGGTCGGTAGTTCAGCAGTTCGAGACCCGAGTGCGCCACATGACGGAGTAAGCTCCCGTCTCTCGTTCCAGCTCCTGCCAACCTAGCAGTTCGAAAGCAAGAAATTGCAAGTAGATAAATAGGTACTGCTTCAGTGGGAAGGTAACAGCGTTCCGTGCACCTTGGTGTTTAGTCATGCCGGCCACATGACCACGGAAACGTCTTCG